ACTCCGAAGCGCCTCACCCACACCTGATCGTCGATCGTGCAAAATGGGAGCGCATCGCGGCGAGTTGAGGCCGAAAAAGACGCAAATCCGACCGCCTCGTTCTCGCGGACGAGCGCGCGCAATGAGACTGCGCGTTGCAGCATTCGGACAGGGTCTCGTGCGAACCCGTAGAGCCAAGCCGCGCTCAAAACGATGCGATTTCGGCCGAGAACGAGCCCATACGCGCTGGCCGAAGCCGGCAGTGACGCCGAAGCGGCTGTGAGCGGCAAGCTCGTGGACGGCCTCAGGTTGCACGGGCCGCTGTCGTGGCCAAAACACGAGTCGTCCATCACAGTCAGACGCTCCCGCCAACACCACACCGCGCCCGCACGCAACCACACGAGGCATTCACGCCTCGCTCCTTTCGTCCGTCGCTCCCACCGACGCCGCACCGCGCCCACTACACCAACACGATGCGCTCCACGTCGTCCGCGGCCCTCCTGCTCACCCTCGCCCCGGCCGGCGCCATCCTCATGTCGGCGCCGCGCAAGAGCGAGGCCCTCCCCTGGCTTGACGCCCCGACGGAGCCCTGGTACGGCGAGATGGCCGGCGACTGCGGCTTCGACCCGCTGGGCCTCGCGGCGTCGCCCGCGCTGCTCACGTACTACCGCGAGGCCGAGCTCAAGCACGCGCGGCTGGCCATGCTCGCGGCCATCGGCTGGCCGGCGTCCGAGCTCTGGGACGACGGCCTCTCGGGCCTCGTCGGCGCGGACCCGCTGCTCACGCCCCTCGGCGGCGGGTGCGCGGCGCCGTCGATCCTCAACGGCGGCCTCAACAACGTGAGCCCGCTCTTCTGGGGCGCGGCGCTTGGCGTCGGCGCGGCCTTCGAGGCCTATTCCATCCAGCTCCGCTTCTCCGAGGACGCTTTAGCGCCGGGCGACCTCAAGTTCGACCCGCTGGGCATGATGCCCACGGAGCGGAGCCGGCGGAAGCGGATGGAGTTGGCCGAGGTCAAGCACGGCCGCATCGCCATGCTCGCCGTCGTCGGCTACGCGGCGCAGGAGTACATGCTCGGCTCCACCGTCGTCCAGCACAGCGACGGCTTCTTCACGCCCTTCTGGTCCCACTTCTTCTGAGCCCGAGGGGACTCCGCCCCGTCGCCTTTTGTGTAGTCTCGCCTGTAAATGAACTCCCCTGTACGAGCCTTAGACGAGCTGCGCGCGGTCGTCGTCGCCCGTCCCGACGAGCTCGATCTTGTCCTCGACGGCGCAGGACGTCGAGCCGCGCTCGACCTGCGCGCGGCCGAGCGCCGCGACCCTGCGCCGTTCCGCCATCTTGAAGCCGACGTAGCCGAAGAGCAGCGCGAAGCACAGGCCCAGCACCGCGAAGAAGGCCGACAGCCCCGCGGCGGTCTCCGGGGCCGAGCCGTCGACGGCGACGTCCGGGTAGCCCGCGTCGGGCACGGGCGCCGGGCAGGACGCGTTCGCCAAAGCCAGGCGGTAGACCGCGCCCGCGTCGAAGCCGCTGTCGTCGTCGTAGCGCGCGCCGACGACGAGCTCGTCGCGCCCGACCAAAGCCACGCCGGAGCCGAAGCGGTCGTTGCCCTCGAGGGGCGGCCCGCCGCCCGTCGTACCGTCGATGCGGTACGCGTCGACGACGTCTTTGGATTCGGCGTCGAGCCGGACGCTGAAGACGGCGCCCGCGCCCGTCTGGCCGCCGTTGCGCGCGGCGTCGGCGCCGCCGTAGAGGAGGATGGACGCGCCGGCGTGCGCCGCGGCGAAGGACGAGCCGAAGTGGTCGCCCCCGCGGAGCGCGAGGCGCGGCTCCGTCGCCGCGGAGTATTTTCGGTGCTTCAGCACGGACCCGTCTTTGTCGACGGTCAGCAGGAACGCCGCGCCGGCCCGCGCGCCGCCGTCGTCGACGCCCGACGCGCCCACCAGCAGCTCCAGATGGCCGTCGCCGTCCCGGCCCAGCGAGGCCAGCGACACGCCAAAGTAGTCGTTCGTCCGCAGCGACGGGTAGGGGTCGTCGAGCACGTTCGCGTGGCGCGCGGCCGCCAGCCGGACGCAGTCGCGCACGCCGGTGCGCTTCGCGTCCATGTAGCAGATGTAGACGCAGCCCACGTTCTCCAGGCCCGTCTCCGGGTCGTCGTACTTGTGCGCTCCGACCGCGACGTCCGGCGCGCCGTCGCCGTCGACGTCGCCGACGGCGGCGACGGAGACGCCGAAGTTGTCGCTGGACCCGAGGTGGACGCTGCCCCGGTTCCGCGCGCCGTAGGTCTGCGTCGACCGCACGGACCCGTCCGCGGCGAGGCCGTAGACGAAGACGCCGCCGCTGTCGACGCGGCCCGGCGCGTCCCAGAACGGCGCGCCGACGACGACCTCGGACCGGCCGTCGCCGTCGACGTCGCCGACGGCGGCGACGGAGCTGCCGAACCAGTCGTTCTTCTGGCCCTTGTCCACGACGGCCTTGGACACGCGCTTCGCGCCGCCGGCGCCGTCTCGCAGCACGAAGTAGACCGCGCCCGCGTTGTTCGTCTGCTCGACGGACCCGTGGGCGTCGCCCGGCGCGCCCACGGCGAGGTCCTCGACGCCGTCGCCGTCGACGTCCCCGACGTTCGCCACGGACGCGCCGAAGCGGTCGTCGCTCGAGAGGCCCTCGGGGACCAATTTTTCGAAGGACGTCGCGCAGCGCACGGACGCGCGCGCCGCGGCGGCGGCGCAGGAGAGCACGAGCGCGCGCATCGCGTTGCCTTCTCTAGGAGGGGTTCCTCGGCCGCGGCACCGCGCGGCGGCGACGATGGAGAAGGCTATGAAAAATTATGGGCTGCCCGCTCGCAGGTTTTTCATGTGTGTGCAAGTTCATTCGATTGAAGCTGCTCTTACCCCCGCGCCGCCTCGGCCGCGGACCGCTGGAGGGCGAGGCCCGCGAGGGCGTTCGCGTCGACGATGGTCACGTGATCCCCGAGGAGGGGCACGGTCGCGTAGAGGTCGCCGAGGTCGAAGCCGCCGTCGGACGTCGCGTAGTACGCGGCCACGGACCCCGTCGGGAGGCCGTTGATCTTGTCCGCGAGGGCCTCGTGCGTGGCGCACCCGTGGGGGCAGGTGGTCCCGCGCCACTCGTTCGGCCGGAAGAGGACCGCGCGGTTGCCCGCGTCGTCCGAGAGGACCTTGTATTGCTCGGCGAAGCCGAAGTCGACGATCGGGAAGAGGTAGGGCACGTTCACGGCGAAGAGGCCCGCGACGCGCGTGGCCGCGTACTTGGGGAAGAAGTCGGCGATGGCCTTGGTCCAGCTGCCGAGGAACTCCCAGGCCACCGTCGCGCTCGAGTTCAGGAGGTAGGCGTCGCGCGCCGTGTCGTTCACGAACGCCCGCTGGAGCTCCTCGTCCATCTCGCTCGGATAGGCGTACAAATCGCCCGAGGGCGGCAGGACGAAGGCGTCGGCGCGCGTCTTGGCGGCCTGCTCGAAGAACCAGTCCCCGAGCGCCGGGAACTGCAGCGCGCGCGGGCTCAGCGTCCAGGTGATCGGGAACCGCAGCGGCGACGCCGACGTCCAGTTGGCGACGCGCTGCTCCATCCAATGGCGGCGCGAGCCTTTGACCATCTCCAGGTTGTCGCCGTCGCCGACGACGAAGCTCACGTAGGTCGTCCCGCCGTCGTAGGCCGCGGGCGTCGCCGCGTGGTCGAAGGGCTGCACCTTGGGCGTCTCCGTGGGCGCGTCGACGGAGAAAAATCCGAGATTCGAAAAGCCGTTGCTCGCGACCTGGCCCATGGCGTGGCCCGCGCACGTCGTCTCCGCCTCGAAGAGGTCGCCGGCGAGGGGCCAGGAGTCGTCGTAGCCGTAGACGACGATGGGCTCGGGCCAGGGGCTGTTCGCGACGATCTCTTCCATGAGCGCGTGGTCTTTTGTGAGCGGGACGCAGCCGTCGTACAAAAAGAAGCAGAAGAGCTTTTCTTGAACGATGAAGTCGACGAGCGCCGGGTTCGCCGTGCCCGTCAGGGCCGCGTGGGGCGGCTTGCCCTCGTAGCCGGGGTCCATCTTCGCCATCGTGGTCGTCTCGTTCGCGTAGCGGTCGAAGACGTAGCGCGTCGCGTCGCGCTCCGACGCGCCGGCGAGCTCCTTCGTCGCGTCGAAGACGACGGGCAGGTCGTGGTCCACGAGGCCGTCCTCGAGGAGTAGGAGGTCGCGCACGCCCGCGACGGTCACGATCTGCGGCACGGCGGCTTTTTGCGCCGTGACGTTCCAGCGCGCGACGCCTTTCACGAGCGGCGAGTCGACGCACGACTCGAGAAACTCGGCGGCCGTCCAGACGCTGTCCGCCGCCGCGACGCCGAGGATCTCGGCCCAATCGTTGTCATCGCCGACCATGAGCGCGAAGACGGTCGTCGTCGCATCGCGGTTCATGAGACCGATGCAGGACTGGGCGGCGAACTGCGTCGCGAGCGGCACGTGCGCGTTGGCGCCGAGCTCGACGACGACGTCGGGCTTGCGCGCCTGGGCAAGCCCGAGCAGGCAGAGCGCGAGAGTATTCCGGGCTGTTGTGTATTCTGGGACGGCACTACTGGGTCAATCAGCTAACATTGAGTTTATTGCGGCGTGCGATGATGCTCCGCCCCTCCGCGGCGCCGACGCCGCCGCCGCTGCAGCAAAGCGCGCTCCCGCTCACGAATGGAAAGACCGCCTACAACCCGTCGCAGAAACTCCGCTGGCTCGTCGTCGCCGTCGCGCTGCTCGTCGTCGCGACGCTCGCGCTGCGCGTCCCGCGGGAGCCCGGCGCCGCCAAGGCCCTCGGCTGCCACGCCTCGAGCGCCGCGGGCTTCCGCGCGGCGCCCGGCGCCGCGCTCCGCGACGACGGCGGCTGCGTCGCGCCGACGGCCCTCGACGCGGGCGTCTGCGTCGAGGCGCGCGGCCGCGTCGGGCGGCGCTGCGTGCCGTCGCTCGCCGTCATCGGCGCGATGAAGTCCGGCACGACGAACATCATGCTCTACCTCCAGCTGCACCCGGCGCTGCGGACGTCGGAGAACTGGTTCGGCTGGCCCGTCGAGAGCCGCTTCTTCTCGAACGCGGACGACGCGTCCGCGGCCGACGCGTGGCGCGACTATCTCGCGCTCTACCCGCGCGCGTCGCCGGGCGTCCTCACCTTCGACAAGTCGCCGAACTACCTCGTGAACGCGAGGGTGCCCGCGGTGCTCGCGCGCCTCGCGCCGTCCTTGAAGCTGGTGGTGATGTTGAGGGATCCGACCAAAAGGGCGTACAGCCACTTCCAGCACGAATGCCGCAACGGCCGCGTGCGCCGGGACGCCGGCGGCCGCATCTACCGGAGCTCCTGCGCGGGCAAGCGCGCCGCGGACTGCGGGCCGGGCACGACGCGACGCGCGTTCCCCTGCGCGCCGGAGGATTTCGGATCGCTCGTCGCCGCGGCGATCGCCGCGCACCCGCCGACGCGGCCCGGCTGGCGCTGCGCCTGGTCCCTAGGCGACGACGGCCGCGGCGACTCGAACGTCGTCCCCCGGGGCTTCTACGACTGCCAGCTCCAGCGGTGGTTCGCCCACTTCCCCCGGGACCAGCTCCGGGCCTTCATCTTCGAGGAGTTTTTAGCGTCGCGCGCCGCGACCCTCGAGGCCGTCGCGGCCGTCGAGACCTTCGTCGGCGTGGAGAACTTCGACTACGGGGCGTCGTGGACCGTGTCCCTCGTCGAAAGGCTCTACGCCGCCGTGCCGAGCCGCGGCGGCGCCTACGCGCCCATGCCGCCGGCGACGAAGGAGTCGCTCGACGGCCTCTACTGCGACGCGAACCGGGACCTCGCGGCCACGCTCGGGCGGTCGCTGCCCTGGCCCTGCGGCGATGCTCTCCGCCGCTCGGCGCGGGGCGGCGCGAACGGGACGCGCGTCACTCGTAGAACTTAGCCGCGTTGGCGAAGGTCAGCGGGACGTCCGGGTTGAGGCAGGCGCGGTGGACGAAGGACCCGACGAGGACGTGGGTCATGGCGCCCGTCGCCCAGGCGCAGTACCACTGGAAGACGGGTCGCTTGAGGTAGACGTTGTCGAGCTTGAGGCCGCCGGCGACGCGCAGCGCCCACATGAGGTGGAAGGCGAGGGACGCGACGTGGAGGGGGACGACAGACGTCCAGGCGCAGGCCGCCGTGCGGTGTTCCAGCTTCGCGAACCACCAGAGACCCACGACGCCCGGCACGAAGTGGCCCACGGTGTTGAGGAAGTGAAAATAGGGCATGGACGCGTCGATGCGCTTGGCGAGCTCCGCGAAGTGGGGCGGGTGCGCGACGGCCATGATGTTGAAGGACGTGAAGATGGCCCAGGAGTTGACGACGAGGAACGGCAGCAGCCGCGGCGGCGCCGCCGGCCGGAGCACGCCGTCCGCGATCTGGCCCAGGAGCGCCGTCCAGTTCCAGATCGTGTAGGTGCTCGACAGCGCCGTCGGCCCCGCCGTGACGAGGAAGAGCAGGCCGCAGACCGTGCAGGCCCAGGGCCGCCGCACGCTCGTCGCGAGCCCGGCGAGCGCTCCGTAGACGGCCGGCAGCATGAGCGAGCTCCAGCTCCCGGGCTTGCTCGTCTCGTCCTCGGACAGCGCGTAGCCGATGTCCACCGTGCCGGTCCAGGACTGGGACCGCTTCATCTTGCCGGAGTCGGGCTCCGTGGGCACGACGACGACCATGGGATGTATCGCTTTCGGCGAGCTTTTTGCTGCGAGTGCCGCGCGCGGCCGGAGGCGGGTTTCGTGGCGTGCGGCGGCGGAGGTCTGCCGAGGTGACGCGCTGGAAGCGGGCGGCGAGCGCGCTTCGAGTCGACTGCTTGTCTTGCAGCGTCGCGGCGCGTCGACGTCGATCGCGGTGGCTGAGGCGAAAGCTGGCGCTTCCGCGGCTTCGCCGACCTTTGCAGATCCTTTGCCTCGACTGGCCTCGAGGCCTCGGTGCGTCGCCGCGCCCGGATCGTCGCCCAGACCTGCCGCCGGCGGTGTAATCCTCGGTCCGCGCGGCCTCCTCCGCGACTCCCCGACCCGCGGCGCGGCCAGCGACGATGGACAACATCCTCCTGCTCACGGACTCCTACAAGGTCAGCCACTGGAAGCAGTACCCGGCGAAGACGACGACGGTCTATAGCTACTTCGAGTCCCGCGGCGGCAAGTACGACGAGGTCGTCTTCTTCGGCCTCCAGTACTACGTGAAGAAGTACCTCGTCGGCGAGCAGGTCACGAAGGCGAAGATCGACGAGGCGGAACGGTTCTACGGCGAGCACTTCCCGCCGGGCTTCGAGTTTAACCGCGCGGGCTGGGAGCACATCCTCGAGAAGCACGGCGGCCGGCTGCCGCTGCGCATCAAGGCCGCGCCCGAGGGCACGGTCGTCGGCGCGAAGAACGTGCTCATGACCGTCGAGAACACGGACCCGGCGTGCTTCTGGCTCACGAACTTTGTGGAGACGCTCCTGGTCCAGGTCTGGTACCCGATGACCGTGGCGACGCACTCGCGGGAGCAGAAGAAGGTCGTGGCCAAGTACTTGGATGTGACGGGCGACGTCGCCGGCCTGGGCTTCAAGCTCCACGACTTCGGGTTCCGCGGCGTGTCGTCCGTCGAGACCGCCGGCGTCGGGTCCTGCGCGCACCTCGTCAACTTCCTGGGCACGGACACGGTCGCGGGTCTCGTCGTGGCCAAGGACTACTACGGCGCCGAGTCCGCGGCGGGGTTCAGCATCCCCGCGTCGGAGCACTCGACGATCACGTCGTGGGGCGAGAGCCGGGAAGTCGACGCGATGCGGAACATGCTCGAGGTCTACCCGGCGGGCCTCGTGGCCTGCGTCTCCGACTCCTACGACATCTTCAAGGCCTGCGGCGACCTGTGGGGCACGCAGCTCAAGGACGCGGTGCTCGCGCGCGACGGGTGCCTCGTCGTCCGGCCCGACTCGGGCGACCCGCCGTCGACGGCGATGCGCGTGCTGACCATCCTCGGCGACAAGTTCGGCAAGGAGAAGAACGACAAGGGCTACTGGGTCCTCGACAGCCACGTGCGCGTCATCTGGGGCGACGGCATCGACTACGAGATGATCTGCGCCGTGCTGTCGACGCTCGCGGACGCGGGCTGGTC